ATGTTGAATAAATATAGTTCTTGAGGTTGTTAGTAGTATAATAAATATTCTAGAGTATAAATTTATTGGTGATCTTTGAATTTATGGCTTATGGATCAAATTCTAGACTAGATCTGAAAATATATGTTGATTTATTGAGGTTTAGATGATTATTTGGGATGAGAAATGAATTATTATGGCTATAGGATTATGATTCTAAGCTGGAGACTTAATTTTTAATTTTTGGGTATTTTAGGTACGAATTTATGAAATAAAAAAAAATTTTGATAATAAAAATTAGTTTAGAAGTTGATTTTTAGATTATTAATGTTTATTGATAATTAAAAGAGGAGTTAAAAATTATACTTAATAGTATTAACTATAGATTTGTATTAAGATTGAGATTAGGAATTATGTTATATTTTTAATTCTATTATTAGAATTATTTTATTAGTTTCAAAAATTGAAACTAATATTTATAAATAATATGTTATTTGTAGATTGTATTACTGGTGAAGATTGTGGTGAGAGAGAAATTTTAAGGAATAATTTATTGAAAAAGCCACAAGGTAACCATGCTTTTAATTTGTGATTAGTGTTACTTCTTGTTAATTGGGTGATTATTGAGAAAATTATGAATTTTGTAATATTGTATAATTGTGCAATATTATTATGAATTTGTTTAATTATTGTGGGAGGTGTTGGGAGACTTGCTATTATTGTTGTATTTATGTGCCACGTGGTATACCCCTATTGGAGCTCAATAGGTGGTTTGTAAGGGCTCGGGCTAATCTACCTTTGGCCGGGTAATTTAGCACCGAGTGAGGGCTACGGCTCGAGGTTAATGGAGAGATATAAGGATGGTTGTTTGTGTGTATTGTAATATTTCATATATTTGTTGGAATTATATTATTTTTAATTCTCACTTAGTAAGCACACACTTAACTGTTTGTATACACTATCATAAATTGGCTTTGGTTACTGGGACTTTTGAGTCTCATTATGTGGTTAACAATTTTCAGGAGAAGAGCCACGAGTGACACGTGGAGGAGTCCCAAAGGCTTAGTGGTATAGATCCACTGTCTCTTTTGGATATTTAATTTATGATTTATAATGTGTTATATTGTCAATATTAGGGCTTTTTGTTTATTGTCAATTATATGAATATATAAATGTAATCATGCTTTTCAAACTATTTCTATTTGTGGTACAATTTGGATGACTATAATTTTAATATTTGGTTTACTTTGGATTGGTTAAAATGGCATGATTATAAGGCCAAATAACTGGCTTGTGTTGAAAATTGACTAAATTACTTATTTTACTTGTTGGGAGTATAAGGATGGACAAATGTGATTTAGCCTAATGGCATGTGGGAGGTAAAAATTTATCTGAAATGTTATAGTGTGTAAGTTGAAGCCAATTATAAAATATTTTATATCGAAATTATTGATATAAAAATGTGTTGGGTGGCTGTAATCCAACTATGGTTGAGTTAAATTATTTAAAAAAAAAATTTTTGGTGTGTTACATTTGACGGAGAAATTATGTGCTCTAGTAGCTAGTTTCGGATTGTCATTTGTCATTATCACAACATGTGCCGCCGCATATGGTACATAGAGGGGACTTCCCCTTTTGTGTCATTCATCAAGGTAGATGACACATATGCCATGACAAATTAGCTTGGCCACTCTGCCCCTATGATGCCATCTTTTGCTTGTTTAATTGTATGTCATGTCTTCGTAATGTTTTATATTCCATTTTGTTTCATGTTTAAGCTCGAACAATCTTTCAAAAACATTTCTTGAGATCCCAAATCTTTAAAACCATTTTTCAAATAATGATTTTATATTTAACATTTTTCTATCATGATAATCCAATCTAAAGATTTGTCTAATCCTAATTACTGTGATAGAGTATAAGTGTGATGTTTTGGTAATGAAATGATGGACATTACAGTCAACTCCTATGAGTCTTATACTTGAGATTTCTCTTTAAAAAAACTAATGATTGACCATCAAGTTTATTTCTTTATGTGCACAAACTAATTGATGCGTTAGACAAGTTTGTTGAGACGAGTTGATAAGTAAAAATATTGCACGTATACGTATAGGAAATGAGACTAATCATAGGGGAAAGCATTGAATAGAGCCTTTTGTTTTTGTTCTTTTGGGTTAGGAGGATAGCATTAGCACCAGGAAGAAAAAGAGAAATAAAAAAAAATAATATCAGAAAGCATTTACTGTGCTAACACTGATTTGAATGTTTTAAATATTAAGCAAGATTCCTAATGCTTGGACGTTATAATATCTAACCTGAAGTTAAAAAATTTAGCCATTCATACCAACTTGGAGCATTTAAAATATCTATTATATTTTATATACTCAAGTTTAAGCATTTAAAAAATACTTTTCAAACTGAGCTGTTCTCTTCATTGCTTAATTGACGGCGTGGTTTAGAAGGAATTGAAGATTCTAGCCTACATGACGGACTTCAAGAAGTTGTGCAACCATCCAAAGGCATGACAAATTTGGGTCCCTGGTCTTTATAGTTGATGTTGCTTATAGAAGTGGGTAATTCATTGTTGAAAGCTGTAATTTTTTGTTTCATATTCTTGAATGCGAGTTTTGAGGACTTTCTGTGTTTCATGACTTTGTAAATGGAATATGATGAAAGACCTTTTTTTTTTTTTTGTTGCTGGTATTTTTGACATTTAGGCATGATGTGTTTTGTGCTGTTCTTGCTTTATACTAGTGTCCTCTGATTTAATAGTAGCTTTTTCAATTCTAATTTAAAAAAAAATTACTTTGTTAAAAAGCTATAGCATGAAGGACTAACTTGATTAGATTCAAAGAAGGGGATGGGCAAACATTGTTAAGTATTTTTTATTTCCACATGTACAGAAATTTTTTAACATTTATGTCATCATAATTACTGAACGTTTTTGTACATTTCAAATGTTATCTAATTTACCATCAATACTATTATTTTTTATTTCTTCACCAAATTTGTAAGGTGATTTAGCTAATGTCAGTATTTTGTTAGATAGCTAGCGTGAAGGACTAACTTGATTAGATTTTTGAAGAAGGGCATGAGCAAACATTGTTAATTATTTTTTATTTTCACATTACAGACATTTTTTGGCATTTATGTCATCATAATAAATAAATATCTTTGTATCTTGCATCTTAATTGATTCAATGGAGTGAACTGATAGTTTTACGTGTTATCAAGTGAAATTATTTTTCATGGAGCCTCAATTATTATACCTACCTTGGACTAAGGTATCAGCAATGGGTTTGATGTAGGTTATTTGTCTTTGTATTTTACACACACACACACACTCACATATACAAAAGTGGTTAAGGAATAATGAAGCATATGTTACATGGCTTCATTCATTATTCTATCAAGCACATAACAAGGATAAGGTAATCAAGGCAAGTTATTTCATTCCTTTAAAAGAACAGTATTAAAAAACAAAAGAAGAAAGGAAGGCTTTTGCCCTACATTTATTTTTGATGGGGGTGTGATTGAGGTCAAGAGAGAGGTTGGCTGAGAGATATTTAAAAGCCAAAAAATAAAGAGAAATAAATATAAAAAATGGGAAGAGATAAATAGACTGTACAATGGTGATAATGGAGGGCGTTGATAGATGTATGGTTGGTATCACTATTATTACAAATCCAATGAAAATATATAATTATAAAAGTCAACATTAAATCGCAAGATAGATGATTGGCTAAAAGAGTTTAAAAAGTGAAAAAATAAAGAGAAATAAATTTAAAAAATGGGAAAAGATTAATAGATATACAATGAGAGTGATGGATGGTGTTGGTAAATGTATGACTGGTATCACTATTGTTATAAGTCTAATGAAAATATAAATAAAAAAAATAACGTTAAGTCTTTACATTTTGCTCGAGCTTTGTTATATATCCTTGTACTTTTTTTTAATATTTTAAATTTTTACACTTTTATTTTTTGGTGTTCTATAAGGATCTAGAATATTGAAAAAAAGTGCAAGAATATATAACAAAAATCGAACAAAGTGTAAGAAACTAAAATTAGGTTTTCTCCAAATATATAATTACAAAAGTCAATATTAAATTGCATCATTAAGTTATAGTGAGAATATAAATTATTCTAATTTCACTATTAATTATACTCTTCTCGTGCATCAGATAGGTAGTGAAAAAACGATGATTTAAAACAATTGTCAACTTGCAAGTTGGTCCTGTTATTGCCATCATTTTTTCAAATGAAATAGGATGTGAAAAATCTTTCCAATAAGTATGGACTCATTTTATGCTTACTTTCTATACTCAAGCTTCCTACGCGTTTTTTTTTTTTTTATTGTTTTAGGTATCATAGTTCAGATGACACATGTTGGTTTAAATCGAATTGACGTCTATTTAGTTAATGCTTCAAGTGTAATGCACAGGGTAATAAAGGAAGAGCTTAATTTATGAACATGTTTGCCTGATGCTGAGTGTTTCATAAAAGCCTTTTTGAGGTCAGTAGCGAGAAAACTGAACATGGCAAAACATTGGGGTATTATGTATTATATTACCACATGCTACAACGAAAAAAGTAGTATCTTTGGCTCATTCCCATGTGTAAGCTTACTTTAACAGAGACACTTTTATTTTTATAATTTGCCTTTCCAGAGACTCTTTTCTTTTTCTTTTTCTCTTTTGCTATTTAAAAAAATTGTCTCATAGTATGTTTCTTATCCGTCACTCCCTTCATTTAAAAATATAAAATATTTTTTAAAAAGTTAGATGTTAAAAAATGTAATATTTTTAATCTTTTAAAGTGTAATAATTTTTTTTTAAGTGACCCTATTGATGAATGACTTTATATTTATTATCGAGTGTTTAATAGGAGTAAATATAAAAGATAGAATTAGTTTGACAGTATGTAACTATTTTATTGAAGGGTGACATTTGATTAAAAATATTTATATTTTTTAACTGAGGAGTATGTTAGTTTTAATTTACATGTTGGTTTAATGGCTCATCAAACATCTAACACAAGAATCCCAATTGTTCAGCGTACAAATTGGACCTCATCTAGCAATGAGTATTTCGTGCTACTTCTACTTTTATAATATGAATTCACACTGAGGTCGGATTTTTTTTTTTTTTTTTTTTGGTGTTGGGGTGGGGATACAATTTTTATGCTAGTAGTGAGAACACAATTTTTCATCGTAATTGAAAGTATATATGCTTCTCTTGGTCAAACTAAGAGCGAGAATTTCACCTGGCTCCAATTGAAGGTATACGCCCCCTTGGTCAAAATATTCCTGCATAATTTCCTCATTAGAATTTATTATATTGATGCCCGACAATAAAGTCGACATCTGCTATTCGATGAAAAATATGGAATCTTAATTAATGTTGTGGGGAAAAAAACATTGATAATAAACAATAACATCTATGTTATTCATGTAGGCCAGAGAAAATGCTTGTTTGCAGGCTGGACCATGTACACAACTAAGAAAGTTAAAGGTAAAAAAAAAAACATAAATATTGGTTAACTATTCAGTCTAAATAATCTTAGTTAACTATTCAATCTTGAATTTTCTGTTGTTAATTACATCCTCAACTTTATTTTTATTTGTCTATCTTTACTTCTAAATCTTAATGTGTGTTTAATTTTCAGTTTACATTCCACAAAAATTTAGTTAAAGAATCCAACTATTTGTTAAATTTGATAAAAATACATTTCAAATATAATTTGAATGTATTTTTTTTTGAGAGCTATTGAAACAGGCCTTTGGTTTATATGTCAAAATTGGAATGTAGGATTTAATTTGATACCATTCATGTGCAAGGAGAAGTTCCACTTCCTTCCTCAAGCTCTAAGGCATTTCCTTTTGCTTAGGAAACATAATTGTTAGTTTGCAAGTTTAATTTGTACTGTTGTTACCATCAATTTTTTCAAATACAGTAACGTGAAAATTCTCACCAGTAAAGTCACATGTTACTAGGTTAATGTGTACTTGGTTTATCTATATATATATATATATATATCTCTATGTTTTCTGTAAGTTTTTTTAATTTTGCTATTTTATGTAAGCAATCTTGGTTTCATTGTCATAGTTAATGAGCATCTTAGACTTCAAACTATTACTTAAATAGTATCTTAAATCTGAACTTTTGAAATGAGAAAAAAAATCTCTGAAATTGTAAATTTCAAATAAATTATCCCTTATTTATCCATACAATATTTTATGTAACTTAGTTGACATGTTACGTGTCAAGAGAAGATTAGTGTCATATTAGCTTTTGATTGGGCTCTACAAAATAAGAAAATAATAGTGGAGTAATTTATTTGAAATTTACAAAATTGATGGTTTTTTTTTAAGAGTTCAAAGTCTAAAATATTATTTAAGTAATAATTTAAAGTTAAGGATGATCATTAACTTTTATTTTTAATCTTCCTTTTATATAACTTTGGTAAAGAATGAAATTTTTATAATTTAATATGTGGCATTGTCAAAAGTTGAGGGCATGAAAAGACTAAAAATTCTTTTGTCTGATGTGAAATCCATCATGACAAATATTATTTACAGAAAGATATTTAAGAACTTGATACAATGATACAATGAAGTTGTATTTTTTTTTATTGACTATTTTTTGCTTGCCATTAATAGTGTTCCTGAAGGGTTAGGAGTATCTAATGTACCTTTCTTTAATACTCCTTATAATATCTCAACTTTTCAATTTCATTTTTTATTTTTTTTGGATCATTGGCTTTTATATAAAACAAGAGATATTTGGATATCTTGATATCCCAAAATGGTAAAGATTTATATTTTTTTATGATTTTTTAAAAAAAATATCACAAATACACCCTTTTATTTTTGAAAAATCATAAAAAATATAAATCTTCACCATTTTGGAACATCAAGATATCCAAATGTCTTTTATTTTATATAGAAGCCAATGATCCAAAGAAAAATAAAAAATAAAATTGAGAAGTTGGGACATTATAAAGGGTATAAGAGAAATGCACATTAGAGGCCCCTAACCCGTCCCGAATGGGTTTTAATTAAAATGCTGTTGTTGTGCAACCGATCCCTGATTTGCATGTTACATATAACAGAAAATTGGCATAATAAGTCAATTTTATTTCAAAATTTTATGAGAACATATAACACAACTAATCACACACACACAGATAAATTATGTTCACTCTATGATATAGACATCTTTTTTTTTTTTTTTTTTGGGTAACAAACGAGGCTAAACCAACTCAAAAGAAAACACTAATACACAAGACAAGGTCAAAAGCCGCCTCAGCATCTCAATAAAGCAAAAAGATAAATCTTTTCAGAAGGTGTCTCAATAATACTATGATTTTTAACATTGTCCCCACTCATCTTAGTAAGCTAATCAGTACATTTGTTGCTTTTAAGAAACACATGCTTAATCACAATTTCAGCATCACTCTCTACAGCATTAACTACATACCTGGCATTGCTGACGTTTTCTCTTTGCCTTTTTCTCCTCCACCTTTGCTTCGCTTGGAGGGTTTTCTTTTTTCAAGTCTTCTGCGTTTTTTATCTTTACTTTTTCGTACGCAGATTCTTGTCTCTCAATTATTGATCTGATCTCCGGAAGCTGAGAGAATGGGACCCCTTCTTCAACTTCAAAGTTTGAAAGTTCTTCAATTACCGAGCTAAAGGCGTCCTTCATGATTTGTAGCTTTTGTTGAGTCTCCCAAAGCTTAAGTTCTACTTCTGCTTTGGCTGTCTGGATTGTTGAGTAGCTGTTGAGTGCATTATCGTATGCTTCACAAAGATCAGTGTGCTTGAGCTGTGGTGAGAAATATTGAAAATTATTAAGCTTCTTGGCCTTCTCGCAGGCTTCAGAAACAGTGGAGCAAGGGATATAAAGTTCATCTTTTTTATTGACCTTAAGGATTTCTAGCTCTGAAGCATAAATTCCTTGGTGATCACCCGTCATAACAAGATAGCAAACCGCAAGGTTAGCTAAATAATAATTAAGACAGTTCATGGTTACTGAGAACCACTTCGAATTTTTTGTTGAATTTGAGAACCAAAGGTTGTCCAGAAGACATTGTTGAACTTGTGAAACCTTTGCAGCACTTCTGTAAGCGGCATGTGACTTAGGATCAAATATGGACAATTCACGTTTCCCGAAAGAAATCTTGCCAAGATCCACATTCTTTTTTGTAACAGGCGGAACATATTTAGCTCCTGAGCTACCCTGATCTGTAACAATTTGTCCTGTTCCGAATAATTCAGCAGGTGACTTAGCATCAAACATGGACAACTCATGTCTTCCGAAGGAAATCTCGTCAAGATCCTCATGCTTTTTTGTAGCAGGTGGAACATATTTAGTTCCTGAGGTACCCTGATCTGCAACAATTTGTCCTGTTCCGATCAATTCAGCAGGTGACTTAGGATCAGATATGGACAATTTATGTCTCTCGAAGCAAATCTTGCCATGACCAACATGCTTTTTTGCACCAGGTGGAACATATTTAGTTCCTAAGGTACCCTGATTTGTAACAATTTGTTCTGTTCTGGGTTTACGGAAATCAGGAGCTGCACCTTTAGGAAACATGGCTTCCCATTGTTCCTTAGGAATTGTAACAGTGTCCTCATGAGATGACTCCAGGTTCTCAATTTTTGGAACCCCTGTTATCCGAACTAATTTCTTCTTGTTCATTTTTTAAAACCCTGCTCAAATGATCAGCAAGGAAATTGTTAGAACCTTTTATATGTTCAAATCTTGGAACCAGATTTCTTCTGTAAAAAGTTATCATTAACTTCTACCAGAATTTGGATCTTTTCCGTTTACTATAACAGCTATCTTATTAACAAAGTTGTATGGGTTAGCACCAGCAGATAACAACTTTTCAAATCCTTCACTAAAATCTTCCCAAACGCCTTTAAAATGTTTCCAAGCATTGTACCATGGCTTGAGCCTTTCTGGGTTGCGTTTTATTGGTGAAATAAGTGTATATTACACTATTCTTCCAATTTTATACCCTTTCATATAACAATTGTGGATCTTCATGTTAGTGGTAACTTATTAACTTCATTTGGACTTCTCATACCTATACTTGTAAACTTACTTTCATATTTTGTTTCGCATGACCTGTATGGAACTGCGGGATAATTCCTCTAATTGCAGGTTTTTGTTTCTTCTTCCATAGGAAACATTACAGGAGAGCTACGTGCTCTCTTTTCAGAAAAAGAAAAATAAAACTCTACTCTAGAGAAAACATATAAAACTTACAAAGGAAAACTAAGGAGGAATTGTTGAACTTGTATGCACCTTTTGCTCCTCGGTGATTCCAAAGATAGAGAATTTTCTCTTCCCTGATTGTCTACTCCCAAGTGAACCCCAAAGTCCTCTTTATAACTCTAAACAAGTGCTTGTTGAGCTGGCGGAGTCATTATTGGACCTTCTTTTTCTTACCCGTGGTAAATTTTTGAGTGGATTCCTAGGACCGTACATTTAAAGCTTGGTGGGGTAACTCAAAAGCACTTCTAAACCACATCTAGATATATTTTTATCAAATTTAACGAATATTTTTGCCAAATATAAATTAAAAACTAAACACATACCTATTAAAAAAAATCCACCCTAAATCATCCGGATATGGATCAAGTGGAGTGGTAATAGGTGTAGTGATTGGAAAGTAAAAAATCAGTGAGTTTTTATCTAATGGCTGGTAAGAAGTAAGTGTATAAAAAATTTCCTCATTTGCAAAACATATAACCAGGTTTTATCCAAAATAAAAATTTATAAAAAATATAATATTTTTAATAAATCTGTTAATTACTAATTTGGTCAATACAGATTTTATTTAAATGATTCATTTTAATATTAATTTTTTATTTTTATAAAGTGACTATTCAGATATGCTTGAGACAGTTTAGATTTGATTTTAAAACTTTTTTATAATCTTATAATTTTTTATTTTAATAAATACAATATTAAAAATAAAAGATAACATTTCTAGCACCTTCCAAAAAAATTATTTTGTAAAAAAAATTATAAGTTATAAATTTTAAATATGAATTAAAATTAAATTTAAACTATCCAGAATACATATTAATAGTTAATTTATAAAAAATAAAAAATTAATATTAAACTCAACCATTCAAATAAAATTTATATTATTTAAATTAGTGATTAACAAATTTATTAAAAATATTAAATTTTTTTATAAATTTTTATTTTGAATAAAATACGATTTTATATTTTTACAAATCAGGAGTCTTTTTAATAAACATATTTCTTACCAATCATTAGATAAAATCAATTTATAAAAAATAAAAAATTAATATTAAACTAGATCATTCAAATAAAATTTATATTATTTAAATTAGTGAGTAACAAATTTATTAATGATATTATATTTTTTTTATAAATTTTTATTTTAAATAAAATATGATTTTATATTTTTACAAATGAGGAGTCTTTTTTATAAACATATTTCTTGTCATTCATTAGATAAAAACTCAGGTGAGGATTTTTTATTCCCCAACCACGGCACTCTTATCACTGCGCCTCATCCGTATCCTAACCCGTCCAGTTAAATCAACGAGCCCTTAAAACAGTCCAACGTACAATTTTTAGGTAGTTATATCCTACATTTCCTTATGAGTGAAGTGAATCCTTGTGAATTATATTATTGATATATTGATATTGTTATTAATTAGAATGAAAATATTAAAAAAAATTATATCCAAACCTTTGCCATGAATCCTAAATGAACAAAATATCCTCACCTTTGGACACCCCTACGATGTTCTTGACAAATTTATCTTGTTCTGCGGGAGTTAATATTCTATCTGTCCAGCTTCGTCGTTATTGGGTGAAATGTGAATAGAGAGGCAATGGAAAGACAGCATCGGAGTTTCGCGGCTGCCGATGCAAAAATGGTTTCCGCGCTGGCCATCGGAGGCCGGTCGGACAAGAGGAGAACATCTTCGGGAGCTCTGACCCCAATTCTCTGCCTCGACCACGATATCATCTGTAAGATATTCGCTCACCTAGACATGTTCGACCTCGTTCGCTGCTCTGCTGTTTGCAAAAATTGGTACTCTTCTTGTCCCCTTCTTGCACTTGAATGTTTGGAGAGTTGTGAATCACGCAGTGGGCTGCTGCCAAAGCAAATTATATATTGCTTACGTGTTATAGCTCTTGTGTTATTTGAAGCTTAAAACTTCTTACATTTGATCATATGTGTCTGCTTCGCTATTTTCATGAAGGAATTGGATCATCGACGACTCTAGGTTGCTGAGAAAATATTATTATAAGCAGCAGATTAGTTCTACCTTTACTCCTGGTACTTCTACATCACGCGAAAAGCCACTGAGAATAGTTCTAAAGGAACTAGCTACGGAGCACCATAGATTAGCGTTTCAAAAAGGTTACATTCGTATTGATCAGTGGAGGGGTCATTCAGCAAGGTAGTTGTTTGTTTTATGACTTTTTGCGTCTACCCATTGAATTGCCTAGCGAGACACCTGTTGTTTCTTTTATCTAGATGTTGCTTTAATAATTATGTTAAGAGATTGGGGACACCAATTGGCTGCAATATAGCAATTGTAGTGAATGAGTTAAATTCGAACAGTTATATATGCTGAAAGCATGATTCCTCATCTGAATCATGACCAAGTTCCCCGTTCCGATACTTTTGACGCATCCATGAATGTATTTCTTGATTGCATGACTCTTTTTTGTTATTTTTTTTTTTTGGTTGTCCGAGTGATCTGCATCAGGACATCTATTTGTATAGGTCATATGAATGATTTACCATTGTTCTCTGATTTAGGGCTCATCAGTGCCGCATGAAGATGGGCCTGATTCTTACCGGTGTTGGAGATAAGGTTTGTCACTGTTTTTTGTTTCCTACTGATTCATTCCCTACATTTACAACCTTAAGGCTCCCTTTGCTGGAGAGCTGGTTTGGAGCAGAAGCTTATAGCTCACGTGATTCTGGCCTCTGTGTTTTCATCCTGATGTATGGGTTCAGTTCTCCCCATGTCTCTTTTCTCTACTCTTATGGCCTTGCATATCCTTTGAAGAGGAAAAAATTGAAAAAAAGAATACGTAGTATCTAATTATCTATGATTATCTGAATGATATTAGGAAGACTAAAAATTTGGTGTCTTTGATAAAGTCATTTGGAAATCCTAGGAGATGTCATATAGCCATAGAATTTACTAAGTTCAGAAAGACTAATACTATTGAATAGACTAGACTATCACTGCTCAGCTTGGATGGTATCTGTCTCATGTGTTCCTCTGTTTAAAGTCGGGAGGAAATCAGGGTGAAGTTTTGTGAAGACATTTTGTGCTTCAGGACTAAATCTCTTACTAGTTCTTCATAGCTGTTTATATGGAAACCAATCACAAGGAGAGGTTTTGGGAATTTGATAATTCTCAGATCATTTCACAATAAAATGTTGGATCTATAGATTCTATTTTTATTTGTGTATTATATCTTTGGAAGTGGATTAATCGAACACTATGAGGAAGCTGAAGAAAAATGGTTAACCTGACATAATCTCTCCACTTGTGCTCTGTACTTGTAGAAGTTACCTAGAGTATATTGAACATTGGTGAATTTAGGTGACTTCATATTCTCTTGGTGTTTTTATGTGTTTTTAAGAGGTTTGAGTCCTTGCTCTACTAATATTTTCATGGTATTATCTAAGGCTATGCGTCTCTGGTCATTGGAAAGCTACAGATGCATGGAAGAATACTCAATACCTGATATGGTCTCTCTTGTTGACTTTGATTTTGACGTGAGCAAGGTAATTGTTTGAAGAAATTATTTATTATTAGGTTTCCATGTGTGTCTGGCTTGAATGAAATATTGCCATAGTCTTCATTTTACTAGTCCAATCCTTGTGCATAAATGTGCAATTATGTCTGAGTTTGGATTCATATGGCCCTCGAAACTATAAGAGGAGTAATAAAGATTGAGTCCAGGCTAAACAGACATGTGATGGGAAACATAGCTGTGTTATCTTTATTTTAAAATTTAGGATTTAGTTTATTTTTTTTTTTTAACCTTCAGGATTTAGTTTACTTTAGATTAAGATTTACCTTTTATCTGCATTTAAATAATATGAATAAATTCAGGTTTCAAGCAGAATTTTTTCCTCTAATTAATTAGCTCGGTACATTTTAGAAGGCCATTTTTGTGTCCCTTGGAAGCTACAGTTCATTTGTTTTTTCATGGTCTTTTCTCTTATTCTATATTTCCATTTTCTTCTGGAATTTTTGTGCTGTCAATCATCTCTAGGTTGGCACTAAGCCATTAATGTATTGTCACCTTTCATCTTTTCTTTCAGTAGCTGATAAATGCTGGTGTTATTAAGTTTATGAATTGTGGTACATAAAGTTCTTAAGTTTTGTATGCTTTTCCATTTCTGATTTCTTTCATTGTCATCATTGTTTTTAGATTGTTGGTCTTGTTGGTACACGTATATGCATTTGGAGACGGAATGGGAAAAGAAGTATATTTCCTTCACAAGAAGGAACATTTCCAAAAGGTTTATGCATGCGGTAAAAGTGTGAATTGTCTATGTCTATTTTTCTGGCTTATATTCAAACTGTGTTACAATTCAGTAGATCTTTTATGCATGGTGTGGAGCCGTGACATGAAGTGAGAAATTTAATATATAATTAGAGTTGTATCTGAGGCTCTGTTGTATGCAACCCTTCCCTCCGTCTAAAATTGTCTTTAGTGTATCTCAAAAGGGTCAAAGTAATCAGGTCATTAAGGAAAAAGGATTCAAGCAATCACTCAACATTGCTTTGAGGATTTTTGGAGGAGGCATAAATAAATTCCGACTATATTGTCACTTTGTCAGCATTCAGCAAGATACATTCTGAATAAGAATTAATAACCTTGAGAATTGAAGTCTGGTGAGATTAAGAAGCTCCAAGTTCTTGTGGACTGATGAATATGGAATTCCTGCATTGTTTGATGTTGGTTGTGAAAATGGCTGATATTTATCCTCTCAATTTTTAAAGGTTTATGGAACTTAAACTAGTAAATTTATATGGAATATGGAATTTTTAAATGACTGGAGACAATGTGACAATGTGATTTATTTGGATACGTTGTTAAAGTAGAAGTTTTGGGGATAGTATTGACAGTATAGAAATTATTATTGAATAATTGCTTATCAAAAGTAGGATACGTAAACCATGGTATCTTCAGATAAAGATAATGTTGAGAGAATGGGGAGTGTGATAGGAAAGAAAATAGCAGAGGAGAAGAGTATGGACTGAAGGCCGTTGAACTCTCTGTATATTACTTGGCCCCAAAGATGTATTCTGTTTAATATTTTGACTACAGAATGACGAGTATACCTTGTACTTCGTTACTTGACAATTGTCTTTCTTAAAATAATACATTTTCCTCATTAGTTAATACTTTCATGAATTTACCAAAAGTTCTAACTACAATCATCAAGTTGTGACTTCAGGTTTACTGCCTTATGAGACATGTACAGAGAACTTCTAGAAACAAGCATTAGATAGTAGAACTGATCATATAGAAGTATTGCAAGCAAAATGAAAGTTTCAACCCCTAAGTGAGATTCATCCTTACAAAAGAAGTTATAGGTGGTGAGGAATGAGGGGAGTTATTGAAAATTAATGTGAAGAAGGACTTACTATACGTCTATACCCATTGGGTATTCTTTCTTGCTACTATCTATATATGTAATATATTTTAAAGGAAGCTAAATTATCTATCAATAGTGCCAATTTGGCTTCCTTTGCGCTCCATGCTTTTGTCTTTCATCTTTTACATTTTATTTTTAGCAATTCTCTTTCTTATTATTCACACCACTTTAATTACACTTTTTTATTTTTGATCATGTTATTATCTCGAAAACTTTTAGGCTTTTTATTTTTTTCAAGGAAGTCATGTTCTTCAAGTTATTATCTATCCCGTGTGCTGTATGGGAAAGATCTAGTTTCAATATATTTCATGGCATGGTCCATATTAATTTTAAATAAATAATTATATGTTGAATTCTAGTTACTATCCTGTTTCTTTTCTAGCTACTTTCCCTCATACTCTGGTTTTCTGCTTAATATGGTACCCGTAAGGCATGAATTATGAGCTCCCTTCCCTGAAAGTTGATATTGATTCTTCTGTGCTTGCAGTTACTTTGATCCAGATGCTGTGGTTGGATGTGAAGATGGGACAGCTCGTGTTTTTGACATGTATAGTAGGAGATGCTCTCAAATTATAAGGTGTTTTAATTTCTATTGTGGATCCAAAAAATTAGGTTTTCATGAAAAGAATGTGGATTACCTATTGCTTTGAAGAAATAACTTTGAAGAGATAGCATTACATATTTGCATTCATGATGTTTGCAACTTGCTATCTGCAGGATGCATTCTTCACCTATAAGTAGTTTATGTTTGGGTGATGATCAACTGATACTGAGTGGTTCCTCATTCGGAAGCATCACAATATCAGATCCTTCCACTCTTAAGCAAGTAACAAAACTTAAATCGATTGATGGAACAGGTAGTTTATTTCTTTGGATTGGTTTTTCTTTGTTGGCTGTGATTCGAAGTTTATGATTGAAGAGGAATGTGCTGAACCAGTTCCTGTAGCTGTAAGCTAGAGTTGTCAAAAATATATTTCTTTTGGTTTTATGTGAGAAAGCAGTCTTAGCTATTTTTTTTCTGGTGTTTAATATTTAGCTAATACAATGTCATACCGATCTTTTTTTATTGGTTGTGAATGTTCACTATGCATGTTTTGACAAGCATTTTAGCATAATGCTCTGACCAATGTCTAATTTCAAGTTTTTATTGTAGCTATAAGGACCTTATGCCTTAACCCCACTTCTGAATTTGTTTTTGCTGGATCATCCGCTGGTTATACATACTGTTGGGACCTTAGGTAAGTGAACAAAGTGTTGTGGCCTGGTCCAGTTTCTCAAGTTTGCTGCACTTACCCTTAGAATATTCAATTCAATGTGCATTAAAATGTTCAAAAATTCTGAAGTATGAAGAACTTGATACTGACTAGCTTCACCAGCTTATCAATATGGAACAAACTCATTCTTCATGCATAATTTATTCTATGATCTTATTTATCTACTGCAAAGTTCATCTTCTTGAATAATCCCATGTGAGATTTGTTTGTTCATAACAAGCAGGACAAGGAGACGATTATGGGAGACACGGGTGAGTCCTAATATATATTCTTTACAACATATGCAAAATGACACGTCAACATTAGCTGTTGGTGGAATAGATGGCGTGTTACGAATCTTGGATCAGAATAATGGTAACATAATATCACGCTGTATAGCGAAGGATGATTTGGTATCAACTCATGAGAATCCTTCTGGAGCCATTCAGAGAATGAAAGGAAGAAGGATACATGAAGACGCCATTTCGACGAGATCCCAAGGATTGCACGACCACCTATTACATGCTTGGCCGTGGGAATGAAGAAGGTTGTCACTACTCACGGTACTGGAAACATTAGAATGTGGAAATTTAATTGAGTTCCTGCACTTGTACCTTTCATGATTAAGAGTTTCTCTATTATTAATTAATAATTAACTAGATATTAGATAGGCATTTTACGTTATGAGTCTAAGAAATAAAATACTCTGTATATCTTTGTTATATCAAAAAGTTTGAACTCTTAATTTCCATCCGCACTTCACCTACAGTTAGTCTAAGACAGCTGATGAATGGAATATATTCCCTCTGATCCTTAGATAACTTAACTAACTTCATGTTTATTAAAAAACGGGAGGTATATCCTTGAAATTGTTAAAAAATATCTAATTTTTCTATTTTTTTTTCTTTGCAATTAATAATCATAATAAATAAATTTTCACTCAAAAAAATAGCTAGGATAAATTATTGTCTGGGAATTCAAATAAGAATAAATAAATAAGGGATAAAATTTTAAAAAATATTATTTATTCTAATGTTGTCTTAAATTAAGAACTAAAAAAAAGCTTTCAAAGTTTCTCAAGAATAGGAGGGAGTATTGTCATCTGTTTATTGAAGGGTAATAATTTGGCGTACTGTCAAAAATCATCGTCCTAGGTATTTTCATTATTCATCATATGCATCGAGTAAGCTTGCCATAGGGTAATGATTTATTCCCTTGGGTACCAAAATATAAGCTCCTTTTAAAGATTTTGGTTTGGTTCTAAATATAAGGTCATATTTTCTCTAAGCTTCTATATTAAAATTTTCTCTCCCATAATACCCTTATTTATTGGGACATTTTTATTTATATACTTCTTTCATTTTAAACTATAAGACATTTTTAAAGAAATTTAATATTTCAAAATATAAATATTTTAAAAAAATTAAGATTTCATTAAATAGGTTTATTTTAATATCCTCATTTTTCTCTCTATTTAATTTATATCTCTCTCTTTTTTCAATATATTAAATAAAGTGTATTTTTAAAAGTTTTTACTTTTTTTAAAAAAATAAGATTATCAAGTATATTTAATAAAATTTATTGACACGTGATATTTTGTTCAAATTTTTTTTATAATTTGAGATAAAGGAAGTTCATTAAAATTTAGGAAAAATGACATTAAAATTACAAAATAATGAATTTATGATGGGTAAGTCCACGAGAAAATTTAAAATCAGTAAATATTTATTCATACAGTTATAAATTCTTGAGTTCTAATTTAAATTTTGAAGAAAAAATTAATCTTTTAATTTTTTTAATTTTTAATTTATTTGTAATTTAATTCCTCAATTATAACTTCTTATGACTCAATCCCTCAGCTTTTGACTTGTCTATAATGCAATCCCTCAACTTTTGTTAGTTCTCTTTTTCATATTACATTAAATCCCATATCAAAGAGCAAGAGAGAGGTATTTTAGAGCAAGAAGAAGGTATTTTAAAGTAAGATATGAGCATTTATTTTATTCATCTTATTTGATAAAGATAATTTTAAAAAATTTAAAAAATAATGATTGAATTATAAGTGAGTTAAAAGTTGAAGGGCCGAGCCACATGAATTTATGGTTGAAAGATTGAGTTGTAGCTAGTCATGATTAAAAAAACTAATTTATAAATGAGATAAAAATTGAAAAACTAAAAAGATTAATTTTTTCAATTCTAAATACAATTCTGAACTTATAGTTAGAATTCTTATTTATAATTATTTGAATTAATGTTTGTAACTTATTTTTAAAAAAAATTATCAAGACCTAACTATCATAAATTTTTTATTATAGAATTTTATTGTCATTCTTCCTAAATTGAATCCTCAAATGGTACATGTGTTTTTCTTTTTTCTTTTTTCTTTTTGAAATGTCACATATTCCCTACATATTAATAATAAAAAGATAAAAGGTATTTTTTTAGGATAGATATTAGAAAGTATAAAACAGTTTGAGTCTCTTAAGGTATAATTAATTTTTTCAAAAACATTTTAATTAGGAGTTGTAGTTATAATATTTTTTTAATTGAGACATCATTTTAAATGAAAATAAATATAAAAAGAGTGTATAATTTTAAAAATAATTAACTAACTTATTAGAAATGTAATTCAACTTAGATGTTTTTATAATATTAGACAGAGGAGGAAGTGTGTGTGTATTTGACTATGTGAATTAATTAAGAATATTTTATATCTAGGATGGAAGGGAGTAAATGATTGAAAAGTATTTTAAGAAAACAAATAATTAATTTAAATAATTTTATTAATTATTATAAATTAATTATCTAATTTCTACACAATGGAATATTTTAAAATTTTAGCTATCTAATCTATGTATCATTATTTTAGAGATCCTATAATTTTATGGCAATTTGTTTTAATTCCCATAATTTTTTTTTTTCAATCTTATAAGAATTAAAAATATTAAAAATATTAAAATTATAAATATTTAAATAATAAATATCATTTAATTTTTATAAAATTATAAATATTGAAAGCATCAAAAAATTATGGAGATTAAAAATAAAATTTGATAAAATTATAAAAATAAAATTGTATTTTTGCATCATTTTGTTTTTAGGGTGAATTTGCCATTCCACTTTTTTTTTTTTGGCCCCCTCATGCGATGCCATATTCTTACTCCATCTGAATCTGAAGAGCAAGCTGAAATAAGCTCTCTGACCCTTTGAAAACCCTAGAGCTCGAAATCTGCTCTGAATCGACGAAGCAACCATGGTATGCATAAGGAAGGCTACAGTAGATGATCTATTGGCTATGCAAGCCTGCAATTTGTTCTGTCTTCCTGAGAATTACCAAATGAAGTATTATCTCTACCACATCCTCTCGTGGCCTCAGCTTCTCTACGTCGCCGAAGATTACAACGGCAAAATCGTCGGTTACGTTCTTGCCAAAATGGAAGAAGAAACCAACGAGTGCCATGGCCACATCACCTCCCTCGCCGTCCTTCGAACCCACCGCAAGCTGGGTTTGGCTACCAAGCTCATGAACGCTGCTCAGAACGCCATGGAGCAAGTGTTTGGAGCTGAGTATGTCTCGCTTCACGTCAGGAAAAGCAATCGGGCGGCCTTTAATCTGTACACCGAGACTTTGGGGTATAAGATTCACGATGTGGAGGCTAAGTATTATGCCGATGGGGAGGATGCTTATGACATGAGGAAGCAGCTAAAGGGGAAGCAACAGCATCATCATGGCGGTGGTCACCACCACCACCACCACCACCACCACCACCATCACCACGGTGGTGGCTGTTGTTCCGGTGAGGCAAAGGCGGAGAAGACAGAGAACAGGGGGAATACCAAGGGAGATTCGAAAGGAAATGCTAAAGCGGCGTGATTATGAAAGCAATCAATGTTCTAGATAAGTTAAAGATGTAATATTTGTGCGTTGGTTGGTATTTTCCCCAATCTTCTGAAGTTACTCATTTTCCCCAACGATGAGAGTTGGAATCATAGTGGGTGTTAATCTTTATCGTCTTGCTGTAATTGGTCTGGACAAGTTAAACGTAATATTTGTGCCTTGGTTGGTGTTTTCCCCAATTTTCCAAAACTTTCTCGTTTTCTCCATTTGTGCCGTAATTGTGATTAAAACGGTTGTTGATCTTTATAGTCTAGCTTTAAATTGCTGAAATGAGTGTTTTCAAATTTTTCTCTACGCTGAGAGATGAATTTCCAGCTCTGTATCTAATGATGCGTGAAGGAACGCTATTTTGTCGTTCGATTACAACCTCCAATGGAATTTTGGTCTTAATTTGTGTTTTCATTCTAGTATCAGTCCAGTGGTATATTGTACTCAATTTGTGTTTAGCTTTTATTAACACGTGCTAGGGGAGAAAATTATAAGTTTGACGATGCTATTCAATTCAGGAGCTTAAGTTTTTGTTATCCTTGTGGAATTCTTACCTGGATTTTATTTGCTTTAAATAGATGAATAAAATGTCAGGAATATTAAGGCAGATTGATAAAATTGGAGAAGGGTGTGAATGGTAGAATCTTTATCTGCTATGTCTCTGTAATGATTTCAATCATTCCACCCGAGGAAGTAGAATATCTTTAGATTGCTTAGCTTTCCATGCTTTAGTTGCTGATGTGAGGCACTGATACATTTGGTATTGGTGAGTGTAAAGGAATAGGAAGGGAAATACTGTGTTTCTTTTGTTTGATTTGATGGAAAGCAATGCCTAATGCACCTACCATTCAATTGGAAATCTGAGCCTTAAAATGATTCTATAGTTGAGAAGGAATGTACTGTGCATTATGAAATCACATGAGGAAAGTTAAAAATACCCCAGATGAAAGCCGAAAAAACACAACCATCTCCCTTCAACAATTTGATGGGTATTTTCTATTTTGATCCTTTGCGTCTCTTTTTATATCCATACCTTTCTTATTTCTACCACCACAAACATTATTTAGAGAATTCTTTCATTTTCTTTTTCATGCATACCAAACATCATTGTTTGATGCTTATTTTCATTTCATTTCCATCTCCATTGCTTTAAAAAGTATTTCCTTCAGACCAAATGGGACTTCTGTGTTTTATGCATATGTAATACTGATCCTCGTTTGATACAAATGGACACATGATGGTCTAATTCATGATATGGGTTGAATATGGTTTGGACATGGCTTAGGTACATTTCTTCCCCTAACTTTGAGAGAAACAGTTTAAACAAGATTGATGTAAGTAGTTGAAAGCTGGATGGTTAATCAGACATTTAATTGTGTGCGTTTTCAAAGTGGTTTGAGTTCATATTCTTGCACATATATTTCCATGCCTTGGCATTACATGAAAACAAGCCCTCTAGCTACTTTTTAACTGTTGAGACTTAAGACTGAAAATAATTGTGCATGGATTCATTACTGTCAACAGGCTAATATATTTTTGTCTATTGGTTAACAATGCAAAATTCAGTCTGCCTTCGATATCAAACGCTATGATGTCTAACTGGATATGGTAGTTATTATAATCATTGTCTTAGCCGTAGGGAGTCCTATTTATGGCTATGCCACATTGTTTGGATTGTCGATTTTGTCATTTTTCTTACCATTGGAACAAAGTGATTCATCAAGCCATTCGATCTGTCTCAACTGTTCTACTTGTTGGCATGTCCTGATAAATGTGCTATAACTAGGTGAAGTTTGTTGAATATTCCAGTTTGTCAATGCTTTTTTGTTTGTTTGAACTGATGAGCGTGATTTCATTACTACACGTACTCTCACATTCAGAGACATCACTTACCTTAGGACAAGGAGCACTGTTTGAACACTGGTACTATGAAAGTTTCTGTTTTCTATATGATATTGGAATCTAATGTCCAACTTATATAAGCATCCCCCCCCCCGGTCACCTACCTAGACCCTAATCATATCTGGAGGAGGCCTGCGCTTCTTGGTGGCTTGTTCAAAGGCATATGCAGTCTCAATAAATGCTGGCTCTGTGAACTTGAGCCCTCCAAAGCGAATGCCAAATGGCTTATTCTGATTGTTATAGCCAGCAGGGATAATGATTGCAGGGTATCCTCCAATTCCAAGAAAAGGAACATACTTCTCTCTAGTAGATATCAAAGCATCAAGTTGGTTATCTTTCATCAACTTCTCAGACCCGTTCTTGGAAGATCTCTCCATGTTTGCTAGTGCTTGTGCCTTCTTGAACCGCCTCATTGATTCCATTGTCAGGTTGGCTTGAATTAACAGGTATTGTGGAAATCCAGCTTAACTCCTGGAAAATGAGGTCCGGTAGTTACTGAACCTGTGAACTTGAAACATAGGACTGTCGAGAATTATGTTCAATAGTTTTCACTTGCATGGTTTTTGTGTCCTTTGTTGAATGCTATGAGATCTGCCACGGATCGAAGTGGAGAAGCCTCAAGCTCTGATAGGCAAGAATTTAAGTCTCTTTTCAGCTCAGCTAATACGACTGTCATCTCGCTCTGGTGAATTTCCTGATTTCATCCATCAGTGTGGTGTCAAGTGAATATTTGGCAATGAGCAAAGAATCTTATGCTACAATAGACTTTGTTCTACCAAGTGAGAAACAAAATGTTATGTTGGAGGAATGTTTACTTATGTATGGGGGTTTGCTGTCACTTTTTGATAAGAATTTTTTTCAACCAAAAATAAAAAAAGATTTTTTTATCCAAATATGTTTGATTAAATAAATGAATTTATCGTCACTTTATCACTATTGATGTGTCTATAATTTACAATAAATTATATTATTTACAAGTGATTTACAGTACAGTTTGATATCTTAAGCTTGTAAAATACACGTGATTTGACACGTAGCTTTATATGAATCGTTCAATTAAAAAAATAAGATGCAATTGAATACAAATCATTTTTTATACAAAAATATAAACCATTTAAATAATATGCAATTAGCATGAGTGCCCCCACCAGCCAGAAGAAAAGGATGGGTTTTAGAAAGGTCCTACCAATTGGTAACCCATCCTGCAAGCTGATCATTTATGGCAATGGGAACATCATCCGAAAGAATCACTTGCTCTGAATTATATACAAGTTATCTTTAATTATTTTATCAGAATCAACTATCAAGAAAAGTTTGGCCCAAAAAAAAAAATCAAGAAAAGATAATTAAATAATTTGTGTTGTCTGAAAAGATATTTTTTTTTAATAAATGAACAAATTATCTTCTAAACTTTAAGTTCAATAATGTCATAGATTAACAGTTAACTAATAGTTAAAGTTAATTTTTATTAACGATAGGAGTTAAATTGCACAATTTTCAATAGTTAAAAAAATAATTTGCACAATAAATCAATTCAAGGTCTATGGTATTACTAAACCTAAAATTCACAAAATAATTTGCTCATTCACCTTTTTTTATATACCTCTATTAAATATATCATTTTTAAACACTTTCTTTCTCATATACTCCCTCCAACCCTGTTATAAGACATTCCTTACTAGCTACTTCTAGGATACTTGGGATATCAGTAAATTTGTTGAAGAATTGTTTAAACCATTCCTTTGGGAAGTCTATCAATAATTAAGGAGATATGGTTAAATTATTAACTTTGTTTAAAAATATATGATAAACTTTTAATTGTATCCTTATTTAAATGATTTTTTAAAAATTTGTGTTACATTCTCTCATATAGTTAATGGATTTAAAATTTAAATAGGAGTAATATTAAAAAAATGCAATTAGTACCACATTAAGAGTTTATACTAAGGATAAAAAAAATTCTTTTTAGAAAATGCTCTATAATATGACAAGATTGGAGTATAACATTTTACTCTACTCAAAATAAAGTTGGCAAAAAATAATTAATAATCTATCTTTTTATATAAAATAATTTATAAACAGTACCACAATTTTTTTCTTGAAGATGACTTATATGAAGTGTTGTCAACAGAATCTGGAGGTAAGTTGAAGCCTTGAAGGAATCTTGAATGGTCCCTTCCTACTGATCCATCAACCACATGCATATACTGCATATCTTCCACTTCCATCAACCTCAAGACTCAACATTATTTATTTATTTGAATGGCATAAATGAAATATGTAAGAAAAAGGAAACAATATTTTATGCCCTCAGTATAAATATATAATATTTTGATTATTATTTCAATATTATAAATAGTTTTGAAGGATGGGTCGTTTTATTTATATCTTATGAATTTATCATATCACTTAACCTAGATTTTGCATTTTAATGAAGGATATAAAATTCAAATACAATATACTTACTTTAAAAAAAAAATTACGTACACAAACATGCTAACGTTGGATTTAAATTCAGAACGTGCAGCATTAATTACCACTAAAATAGCTTGCAGCTGACAAAATGCATGAGTTTTGAACTCATTTTTATTTTTTTAAAAATATTATTGTCTTTGTCGGGTCAGATCAAAATGCCATTACTCTAGTGACACGTTCCTCTGGATCTTTTTCCTGAATTAGAGGTGCTCCTGCTCCATGTTCATTCGTGAATGAAGTCGAAAGTCTATTTTATTTTTTTGAATCTTTTGGAGCTTCAAATTCGTTTCTTTATTTATTTTATCTGGATTGGATTCCTCAGTAACGCTAATTCTAGTTCATTTTGCTTCTGCAATTAATCATGACAACAACAACGATGATAATATATAATCAAGTTGGGTTTTAAGTAATAAAGTTAGGTTGCTGCTAGTTTCTAGCCAACTTACGTAAAATTCAAAGAACTCCGTGGCTTATCTGGATCGATCTTCGTGACTTGAGCTTCATTGAAATGATTTGTTTGACACTGTGACTGATTACTTTGGCAAGCCAAATATTTTTTTTTTAAAAAAATTACACTATTAATTAATAACTTTCAAATAATCTACCTTAAAGAAGGAATTAGTTCCGTAATGAACCAAAAATTGAATTATTGTTGAGGTGGATATGTTTAGTAATGGATCATATTTCTGATAAGAAAATATCCTTGTACAATAAAAATAAATTTAAAATAATCGGTCTTATGGTGAAATGATAGTTAATTAGGTTCTAAAATTCTAATTTATTCTGAAAAAATTACTAAAGGATAAATTGTATAGAAAATAATTTATGAGACTTTCATATCTGATGTACAAAGGCTCTCCTTATTCATAACTTTATATATTAATATTTAATTTATAAAGTACAACTCATTTTTTAATAATTTTTTCTAAATTTAGCTATCATTGAATAAATCTTCAAGTGGCTTATCTCAGATTCTGAATAAAATAATGCAGATTAACAATTATGTCAATGGTTATTACGTAGTTTCGTGAAAGAAAGAAATACTCTTATATATATATATATATATATATATAGTTTCCGATTCCATGGGTATTCCCAAAAAGGAAAACCTTTGATTTTTCTTAATAAGGAATACGTCTACTCATGAAAAAGAAAGCTTCAGGGTCCATGCAAGAAAAATGGGAAAATGATGGGGTCAACTTATATGGGGATCACATGTTTTAAATTTTTTTTTGAAAAAATGAAGGATTAGATGGAAGAAGAAAATTCACAATTGAATACTTCATGATGGAGACATTTATATTAATTTATCTTAACTATTAATTCATCATGATAAGGATCTTTGTTTAGACTGCATTCTGTGACTTTTACTTTCAGCATTTGCGTTATTTTAATTTATTTATATAAAAAATATCCATGATCTCATTATTTAATTCATTCTTGGGCTCTAACTGTGACATCTATTACTTGAAATAATTTTTTCTTGTTAATACTATAGTTCCCCCATAGATCCTTCAAGCTGGAAAATGATTAATTTATGCCAAGTTTTTTGTCGGAATTAATTTATGCACATTAATATTTCACTTTGTATATGCCACACCTTAATGAGTAATCACCATATATATTTAGAGAGAGTAACATGAAACCTTTATTATATTGCATAAAAAAAAAGGAAAAGAAAAGAAAGAAACATATTATATTCTAATATCATTTTCAGCTATATATCTCCATTTTTTAATGGGTAAGTGTATGGGCGTTTAAGTAAATATTGTAATTATTATTCATTACTTACACACACATAGAAGTACGTACGTATAACGTATCCGTGGCTCTAACCCTATTATCGTGACCTTGATTTTGACTTTTATTTTCCATCTTCACTAACTCAAAACACCCCTTTGACATTTCAGGGTTAATTATAAGAACTGAGTTTTAATTAAATTAAAAATAGAGGAACTCACCATCGGGTTAAAGTTTAATATATGAATTTTAATCGAATAAAAATGGTTAATTTTTTATATTATTATGAAATCACCGAAAAAACTAAATAAATGGAAAATATAAATTAGAATCATCATATATGTGTCAATATCAAAATAAAATATAATATTTATTGTAAATTTACTACTTACAAATTCATTTTTTAAATTACTTGCAATTTATGAAATCCATCATCCATCAAATTTTGTATATCGGCGGTGGCAAAACTAGAAGTCTGTGTTAGGGGCCAATTTGTTAAAAAAAATCAAAAATAATTTGATAATTTAAAAAATCAATTATATATTTATTATATTATTGGGCTTTGAGTTCAAATGTTGAAAAAATTGGATTTGAATTTAGAGAAGAAAAATCAAAATGGGTTTAATGTTCAAAATATTGAGAAGAGGAATCTAATAGTTGAGACAATGAAACATTGAAAAGTCAAATAAATGACAAATTCTTGCATGGAAGTAATATATCACATTATCTATTTCCATCCAATAAAAACATTTTATATCATATGATTGTAAATATAAATTAATTATGTTATTGACAATGATATAGAAAGACATGAAATTAAAGAAATACTCTATTTTAAAAATAAAATTATAAAAAATAATTATACATAAAATTTTAGTTAATTGAACTTGCACAATATTATTAAATAGAGCATTGATATATAATATGATGCATTAAGTTCATGTAAAAATTTCTTTGATTCAATTGTAGTTTTTTCCTAACAGTGTTCTCTTCCTTAATAGATTTACACACACACACACACACACACACACACACACATATACAGAAATTGAAATGCCGAGGTGTAAGAAAATAAGAGGAATATTATCGAGTAGAACGGGGATTAACATGTGGTCCCCTGAAAGAATTGAGATTGGACTTGATTCTTTTTATAGAAAGTATTGCTTTTCGATCGCTGTCACCTTTCAACAGCTAATAGTATCACAGTGCCTTCGACTTTGCAATCTCGTCCTGACACTAATGGGTGAAAAAATAACACCGCTAAATGGATTAGGGAAAATATCATCTAAAAATACTCAGAGTTTATGAGAAAATAAGATTACTCTTAAAAATATGAAATTTCATTACACTCCCTTAATACCTATCTGGAAAGAAAATTTTATGAGAAAAGACCTAATTATCTCTAAAGTTTAATAAAGTTTAATCATTTAATGGGTGATTATTAATTATGTATGGTTAGTTGTCAAAATTAAATTTGAATAAAGTTTAATAAAGTTTAATCATTTAATCATTTAATAAAATTATTAATCATGCACAAAAATAATACTTGTACAATTAAACCTGTACGATATATCAATTATAGTCACTTATTAATTTTGTATTGTTTATGCAGGTACAATTAAACTTATATTATTAGTTATAATCACATGTCAATTCCAAATGTGTTATCGTTAATTATGTAAAGTAATACATACTTATCAAAATTCAAATGGATGCTTATTTAAATATGATTAACTTGTTCTATTAATTATTATTAATTACGTATAGTTAAATATCACAAAATCTTATTTTTAGATAGATATCAGGGATGCAGTAAAATTTTAGATTTTTAAGGTCGTAACATAAAAACTCTTCGGTAGTTCATGGATGATATATTTTCCCTAATAATTAATATCAGCAACTCATCGAATTTCCTTCCAACCAACTCCACAAAATATATATCCACCAATATTTACATGCATTTACAACGAATTCAATCTGTGTGTGCATAATCACACACACATCGCACGCGTCTATATTTTGCGTACAGCACCCAGTATTTTAGACTGTTTTACATCAAGCTGATTATAAGACTTCAACAAGAACCCAGACTAATCCGGATCGAGTCGGATCATACACACTCATATTGACATACATTCAATACACTCTCAGACATTGAGATGAAAATATTTGCCCCAGATTAAGCAATCTTAACTGGCCATAGCCATAGTTTGAGCCGTGTATATGTATATATATATATATATATATATTCACATATAACTTGTTTGGATGATCTGTTCAAGAAGCTTGGACTTGGTAGCTATCTGTTTCCACTGAGCTGAGAAGCAAATCATCAAGAGGAGGTGGTTTTCTTATGTTGATGGTGTGTTCTAGGGCATAAGCGATCTCTATGAGTTTGGGTTCTGAGTATTTGAGTCCTCCAAAAGCAATAACTAAGGGCATGTTGTCGTGGGTATACCCTACAGGGACAGTGATTGAAGGGTATCCTCCAACACCCAGAAAAGGAACATACTTCTGTCCTACGTACACCAAAGCATCCAGTTTCTTCTCTTTCATCGTCTTCTCGAAACCATTCTTTGAAAACCTTTCCAGCTTCGCTAGGGCTTCTTGAACCGTCTCGTTGATACCGTTTGTTTGGCTGGCCATCAAAAACATGTCTTGTGGATATTCCTCAATGCTTTCCTACGCAGTAAGAGACCTTTGATTAGGAACAGTATGTAATTAAAGTTGAAGAGTGAGTGAGTGTGTGTGTGTGTGTGTGAATACTTACAAGATTTTTGTTGTGTGTGTTGAATAGTATAAGTTCGGCCATGGATTTGGAAGGAGAAAAGCGAAGGTTTGAGAGATAAGAATTCAAGTCTCGCTTGATCTCAGCTAATAAAGCGATCATTTCGTTTTCATGTATTTCATCATTGTGCTCAATCACCACATCGTCCACCACTGTTGCGCCTTTCTCCCTGCAATAATATTTCATTTTAATTTATTTTCTCTTAAAAAACTTGGATTTAAATATATATCACTAAGAATTTTGGAAGAAAATAATTTTCTAAAGTATATTCATGAATTTCTCTGAAGTTTTTCATTTTTTAATTTTTTTTCTCATTTCTTTATTTTTTTTTAATAAAAATATGAAATCTTTCACTTTCTTAGAAAGACAAACTTTATGGCATCCAAGATCTGGATCCTTTAAAGTCAGAAACTCTGAATTTCGATGAAGTTTAATGGTAAGATCCATGGACTTCTTAATATTTTAATTGTATATGCAAAATAAGTAACCAACTTTAAAGCTATTTTAACTTTAAGGACTAGCTATGCCTTTTCTAAAATTTAATAGCTACCTTAAATTTTAGCGATAGCTTATCAGACAAAAAATTTAATAGCTTCCTTAAATTTTAGTGATAGCTTCCTTAAGTAACCAACTTTAAAGCTATTTTAACTTTAAAGCTATTTTTATTAATATTATTTAATAGAAAAAAAATTTAAGTGATAGCTTATCAGACAAAAACAATGAAATAATGGAAGTATCAAATGCCAAATGGTCCTTCCTATTTTGTGCTAGCTATGTTTTCTCTTAACATGGTTCGCAATATATATATATATATATATATAAGTAGTTGCTCACGTAGGAATAATGCTTGACAAGAATTAATAGTCAGTCGTAGACGTCAAAGAAAATTTAAACATATATAAGAATAAAAAAAATAATAAATAAAGGTGGACCTGAATGTGTGGAAGAGTTGTTGATAAGTCGCATTCTGAATGGAGGAATCAGGGAAGTTAAAGTAATCAGGGAATCTCAAGATTCCTAATCTCTTTCCTGAGAGTCCCTCAGAGTTAAGATACTGAGCATAGCCGCCATTTGGAATGTGTCTTGAGGCTTCGATCGTGCCTCTATCATTCTCGTCTCTTCCAACAATTATATCAAGCACATGCACTGCGTCTGCCACGCTCCTTGCCATTGGTCTTTTCCATTTTAACGTACCCAGAAACAAATCAAGTTCTTCAATAATTAACATTTTTGTAGAATTTAAATCTTCTGAAATTGATATAGATAAATTTATGTAAAGTTTTCTTTTTTTAAAAAAAGAAAAAATATTTAATCTTTTATAATAATAAAAAAACTAAGTGAAAATACTGAGAGAAACGAAATTTCATGTAAATTCATCAGTATCAATTATAGAGGATTTAAATCTCGATCATTGATAATATCTCAGTTTAGCAAAGTGTTCTCACTTTTCACACAATATAAAAATAACAAGAACAGATCAATTAAAGACATTTTACTTAGAAATGAGTCGAACTTAGTTGACAACCATCCGTAACGTTGTTTTTCTTCGAGATCCCAAAATATCATTTTTCCCACACAATATTATCTTATTATAGTTGGCCTTCGCTATTACGAAAAATAGTGAATTTTATCCATTTATATATAATCAGTTTAGCCGACTTAAAAAAAATCATCAATTCAAAAATCTCACACGCACAAATAAGATATTAAAAACTAGATCGGTAACTGAATTTATCAAGATACTAGTTCAAAAATTAATTGTTAAATCTGTACGCAGTCAAACAATGATAAGACCAGACATGAACAAAGCATCTCATTAAACTGATCAAAGCAATAATAATTCATCAACTATTTACTAGTTCAACCATATTGGTTAACCCCGGATATCAATATTTATTAAAATTTCAAAATGATTTATACAAAATGACTTTTATTTTTTTTAGATGAATCAATATGTTTTCTATAATTTTTTTATTTTTAACATTAAATTTAAATATTTGAGTGTGTGAAAATTTAATTTTTAAATTACTTACAGGCATTTTCATATTAAAAACAATACTGTTCAAGATATGATTTGGCACTAAATATAAACATCTCTTACAAAAAATTTAAATGTTAATTCATCATATTATGAGTGGTTAGACTCTTTTGCCAAACCTAATCTCGTTAGTCATATGAATTTATTATTGATCCAACAATAATAATATTATGATTGATTCATTCTAAAAAATTTTGAAAATATCTTAGAAGATTGGGGGCAAAAAAAAAACTTTTGAGAGATTTGATTTAATAGTAAAGTATTTTTAACAAAAGTGCATCATCAATTCATCAGCATCACCACCGGACGTACGTACCCCACAGAGTCTTGCCTCATGGAAATGGGTACGACACCATCTCTACTGGTTAGATTCACTGTGGGTTTGATTCCCACCACTGAGTTATACGACGATGGACATATAATCGACCCATCTGTTTCTGTCCCTATCGCCACCGTCGCAAAATTCGCCGCCACCGATATCGCAGATCCACTGCTCGATCCACACACTTCTTTGCTCAAATTATATGGATTCTGCACTCAAACTTTATCATCAGCCTAGAATCATCACAAATCAGCTCTTTTCACCCTTTGTGGATAGATTTTACCTTTCCTTGGCCGCCTCTGGCCGACCAGCCTCCGGGCATACTCGACGACCGGAAGCCGGACCACTCCTTCAAGCTAGTTTTTCCGAGGATGATGGCACCGGCGTCTCTCAACTTCTTCACCACGAAGGCATCTCGAGCCACGACGGAGCCGACCAAGGCAAATGAGCCGGCCGACGTGTTCATGTGATCCTTGGTCGCTGTATTATCTTTTATCAGCACCGGAACTCCGCTTAACCTGCTCCCTCGCTTCCCCGCCAGCCTATCGCTGTCGGCTCGGTGAGCCTGAGCCTCGGCGTCCGGGTTCACCTCCGTTACTCCACGCAGAACCTGGTTGTAACGTTGGATTTGGTCTCTGTAAAAGTGAACGAGCTGCGTGGAGGAGACATGGCCGCGTGTAAGAGCGTATTGTATGTCGTCGACGGTAGCTTCTCTGAACTGGAAAGCGTGAGACCGTGGAGATGGTAAGATGAGTATAGTGATGAGAATGAGTTGCAGTGAGAAGAAATGGTTTAGGGCTGATGAAGTGCAGAGGTTTTTCCTTGCCATTGCTCAGATAATTTATTGGTCCCAAGATAGAAGCAGCATTTAAGTTGAGAAATGGACCAACGAATAACAAGCATATAAATATTAATTTTTTTTTTCTTTTGACTAAGGTATCAGGTTTCAAAAATTCAAAGTTTGAGAGGGAACGAGTGAAAATGAGTAATAACTACATAAACAAACTAAAATATTAGTAAGTTATAGGCTTGCTCACCATGTATTGGATTTAATTTAAATACTTTATATAAAATACAGTATTCGTTGAAATATTTAAGTCATCTTTTATACGATGATATGATAAAAAAAAATATGAAACATTTTTAGTTTATCAATGCGTAATTACTAATTTTTTCAAAGATATTTTTATTAAATAAATTATTCAATCCTTTAAGTTTTTAAATAAGATACCTTATAAAATAATGACAAATATTAAAAGATGATATCAGTTTAAAAATAATTAACTAAATTATTAAAAATATAATTGAGTTAAAAATATTTTATAAAAAGAATTAAAAGTATACATTTGTGTGTACCTAAAACCAAATTCAACGGTAGAATTAAAAGGAGGGAACAATGAATTCGGCGATGTTTGTGGTAGGTGATATAATATACACACATACACACACACAGTAGGACCTATTAATTCAGGTCAAAAAAATATTGGCGTATTAATATTTGGAATAAAATAAACTAGATTGGATGGCACAGGAATAAGATGTTAAAAACCTGAAATATTTAAAATGTGAATATTACGGAGTTTGATGCAAAACAAGCAGGGCACGAAAAATATATTTGGGCCAACAAGGATGGAGTCGGCCTCTCTCGAAAATCTGGACTGTCCAGATTAACGTTAAAATTTAATTTAAATAGTTCAAATTGAATTGTTTTATTTTTATTTTTTATTTATATTTTTAAAATAATAAACATATAAAAATTATAAAAAATTTTAATAAATATATAATCATCAATCTAACAGTCTATATTTAGTAGAAATAATTTAAATTTAATATTAATTTTTAATAAATTTACTATTCTATTCAGAATATATTTTCATTGTCTAGAATATATTTGAAAAGTCAATTTAAATTTTTATATTAAATTTAAATTATTTATATTAAATCTGGACTGTCAAATTAATAAATATACTTATTAAAAAATTTAATTTTTATATATTTTTATTCTAAAAATGAAAATATTAAATTTAAATGATTCAGATTTTTTTTTTATTTCAAAGGAGAGGTAGAAGAAGCTTCTCTCATCTCCAATGAGCAGAAGGACGGAATACTCGCAGATTATTTTGGAATCTTGGAAGGAATCAAAGATGCTGGGTGCAGCCAAGGGAATCCAATGGGCAATGTGGAAGCAATATTACGAAAGATTCCGTGTCATGAGAGGAGCTCAAGAAAGCTTTAAGATAGTGACGTGAGGGTATTATCAAGGGCCCAAATATTCGATTAATTCAATAAATTGTTTTGTGTTTTTGTGGCCAAATATTATAGAATAATTCAATTATTATTATTTTTGTAAAAAAAAATTAGATGAATTGAATCCTAAGCTCCCCAGAACTAGGCCATACTTTTAAATTTAAAAAATATTTATAAAGATACTTATAAATTGTGAATCAATAAGATCCTCATGTTACATTAATAATGAAATTTAATATTATGATTTTATGAGTATAAATCCCTTAATCTTTGTTAGCTTTAATAATTACTTTTGCTTTCACTGGAAGACAGTAATGTCCTATTAATTGGAAGCCCACCGCTTTCTTCAAAAGTTCTTGACATGAAAAGTTGTGCTTCTTGTGCCATCGTAGTTCGTTATGCTCACGCACTAACAAATCAATTTTAAAAGAAGTGTTTTGTCTTCAATTTTCATTTGATTAGAATTTCCAGCTTCTATATGAATAAAAAGGCACTTAAAGAGATGCTAACAAATAACCCATTAATAAAACTATCATCTTAATATTATTAAAAAAAAAAACTATCATCATAATAGTAAGATAACGAGCTTAAACGCATCCTTATAAAGTATAAGCCACAATTTATCAACTAGACTAAAATTTACTGGCTAGTATGCTCTTAATTTAAATCAGTGACTGTTAATACTTCCTTAGACTCAAATTAATGTTGTGCGCAAAAAATTGTCTCTGCAAGAGAAATAAACAGCTAGCCTAACTCCTTTGTTGTGTTGTCAAAGACTCAAAGATAAAACTCTGCTTATTACAATTCCAAGACTTTCAGGACTTGTCTGGTCACTATATAGTATACAAATAGAGATCGAGGCCAAGCCATATAGAAGAATGGATTGAGACAATTAAGCATCTTTTTGAATAAATTGTAAATGAATTCTTCTTCGCTTCAGAATTGATAATCTCCTTCAAAGTCAGTTCAAAACAAGAAGCTAGTTTTTTTCCCCCACCTATGTTCAGATCAACCAATAAGACAGTAATTTTGTTGTCGAACCCATGGCTTAAGATCTAAACTTTCTTTTTCCATCTGAACTGTGATGTTAACAAAGATTAGCAATTTGTAATGATGTGTTCAATAAACGGCCCATCTCTTCTTCCTTCTCTTTGATTTGTCTCTTTTCTCTTCTTCATAACCCTTTTCCTGTCTCCACAGATCAATGCCAGAGAGAGATAGTTCTTCAGCAAAGTCCCACATGCCATAACACAACAATAACAAACAAACTGAAACTTGCAAACACATAACTAGTGAACAAGCCGGAGCAAGGGCTCGTCTTCTTCTTTGAGATGAATTTCTGCCAGAGTCACTGCTGCCACGAGTCCAGTTAGTCACATAGTCCCATCCTGTCTTTTCTCTGTTTTTCCCCCTCAATCTCTCTCACTCCTTCCAACGGATTTTCCTCCATCTAAATAAACCTCACTCTTCGTCACTTTTCTTTCTCCATTCCCTCATCACTTTCTCTCTCTGTCTCTCAACCAATCTTCCTCATTAAATCCTAGAACCACACCCCTTTCCCTTTCTCTTCAATATCTTCGCTTGACATTCCCCTTTCTCACTCTCTCCTAGGTCTCAGAATACCTTACCCTCGCAAATTAAGCTACTCATAATAATTTCGATATTAGGATTTCCAATGTTCGTCTCTCTCTAGGCATAAAATTTTTTTACAATAATATTCCTCGTAATCAATTTATAATTGCACGGTCTTAACCGCAGCCCTGTGTATTAAAAAAAAAGAATACCTTACCCTCCAAAAAAAAGAAAAAACATCAGTCACCCCAAAGAAAGAAATGCAATAGAGGACTACAGAAACTAATGAATAGATTTTAATATGTCGTGGTTAGTCTGTAGTAAGTAAACCATCCATTAATCCATTTTATAAGCTGCAACTAATACCTCAACTATCCCATTTATATACTAGCTAAAAGCTTACTAATGCTTCAGAAGGAATTGACAAATTGTGAGTCATAACATATCTTCATGCTCTTCGTATCGAGATGCAGACTATATGAAAACTTCATTATCACCATCATAACTTATTGGAGCTAAGTTTAGAAGCCATTGTAAAGGGGGACTGTTAAGGAAAAAATGCACAGGAGAGAACAGTGAAATGCCAAAGCCAGATAACTGCTTAAGATAGAGTTAATTACACATCATTGGTACCGCTCCTTGAATCAGATATCATGAAGTGTCAAAGGAAGTGCTCCAAGTTAAGCTGTCTTCAAGAAGGGCACTTTATCTTTCTGATATTTTTTTATGGCTTCTATAACTTCTACTGAGAATGTCTCGTCCTCGGGGTAATAAGCAACAGGATCTTGTAGCGGAGGCAATGGTAGATTAAGAACACCCTCAAGTGTTGCATGGAGACAATATGCTGAATATGTGACATGGTATCCACCCTCCTGAACAATTAGAAGCCGTCCATCACAGTGCTTGTCCGTAAGAGCCCGTACTATCTGTCCAATTCCCCTATAGCCCTCCATTGTTAAGCATTGCCTTCCATTTGGATCAAACTGAAGCACATGCATACCAAAATGTAACAATATAAGTAAATCAGCTTTTTTATTTACAATAGCAGCAAGGCAAATACAGGGATGATTAATTTTTACTAAGATATTTGTATACAGTGTCTGGTTGAATAATTCACAGTTGAGATATGTAATCACTGTAAATCTGGAAGGATATTTTGCAAAAGGTATAATTTGAAGGAAAGACTATACTTAATGAAAGTTGTTTTTCAGAATACCTTAATTCTGCTGGTTAAAAACAAAAAAGAAAAAGAAAAAGAAAAGGAGTACTATAATTCCACGGAAAATGATTAATTACAACCACTTTTTTGTTGGAATGGGAAAAAAGCAGAGTTCCATTTTGTACTCCAAGAAATGTAGATAAAAATGTAAGAAAGATCTCTGAGGTTTCAAGTTCTGAGAGACCACGAACTCAATTCAATTTCTCACAAACTTGGCAGAGTAGATTTTTAGTAACAATCAACATATAATTTAGGAACCACAGAGATGGTAAATGGATCAACTTACAGCACTTGAGTCTTGCCCAATAACCAAAACTATAACATCAGGGTCAAACTTCTCGATTGATGGAACCACCAAATGATTGAAGGCATATACATATCCCTTGTCCCCAGTTCCATTCGGCAGAGGAATGTTCAAGTTATAGCCATAACCTTCTCCTTCACCAAGTTCATCAACAGATCCAGTCTGAGGATTTGAAGGACCCCATGATCCATGGTTCATATGGAGGGAGATGGTAAGAACTTTATCAGACTGATAAAATCCCTCTGCTGTACCATTTCCATAATGAACATCAATGTCTATCACTGCAACTTTTCTACACCGAGAATCTAAAGCTAACTGGATGGCAAGACCAGCATTGTTAAGGAAGCAGTAACCATCAGCTTGAGTAGGCTGAGCATGATGACCAGGGGGCCTAACTAATGCATATGCTATTTTCCCATGGCCATCAAGTATATGCTTCATTGCAGATATTGTGGTTCCAGCAGCAAGAAGTGCAGCATCCCATGAT